GTGTTTGTGCATGGAGAAAAAACAGTGAGGCCAATTGGGGCTGCAGCGAAGGAGATAGCAGGGCTACTCAGGAAGAAAAAATAAAAACAGTTAACCTCTTGTTTACTTTTAAAGCGTTCAGAGCTGTTAAATCCATGCTGCAATTAGAGGAGAAGGAAATAATATTTCTTAATTACTAAAAAGACTCACATTTTGACAAACATGATTAAAATACTCCCAGATTATTGTCTGATTTTTCCTTTCCTGAGGATTCTGCATGTTTATGTGTGTATTTAGGCTGCTTTTATTCTGACTGTCACTAAAGGGCAGCAGAAGGAAGCCAGCATTGCTACAAATATTCAAATGGATTTACTTATTGTCTGTATCTCGGCTCTTCAATACATTCACTGGGATTTTCTCTGTGTTTAGGGTCATTGTCCTGCTGGAAGACGGACTTTAGCCCAAGTCTCAACAAACATTTTTTTTTTTCTTCCTGGATTGTCCTGTATGCTCTCCCACTCTCGCCTCTTTTAATAAGCTCAGATCCCATGTGCCCTGCACCATTTTTTCTTTAGGGTTTATATGTAGAATTACACTGCGAACCAGTATATTTGCTCTTAATGGGAGCCTCTAGATAAGATGATTCACCAGTGGAATAAATATTTTTTGTGTTAAAATAAGCTTGTGATATATTATGCACTTGAAAATAAATAAAGAAGTTGTTTTTGTTTTCTTATTTCGAACATAGATCATCTAATTCTATTGACAAATGTCTTACCTAGGGGTAAAAACAATTTGCCGATATGTTGTAATTTTCAGCTATCCGATATAATATCGATCGTTCAGTTCCTAGCATTAATAAAAAAAAACAACACAATTTTTAGCTAAAGCAATGAGGGATGGGCTACCTCTGCACCGCCAGAGACCTTTTGCTGCTGGAGTGCCGCACCATCTCTGTCGCTGAGGCAGCCATAGTGGAAGACATTGACCGACTCAAACCCCAAACAACATGGATACCAAAATAACTAAATGATCAACATCATCTGATGAACTTATACAGAACTAGTTTTTTTATCTATACATTTATTTTTGACAACTGGGAAAAATATTGTAATATATACAGAGATATTGCAGTGGGTAGCACTGTTGCCT